TTTAGATCCGATCTAATCACAAGTCGATCTGCAATTCCGCCTTCTCCGTCTCCAACACGCATCAATGTTCAAATCAAGGTCTCAGTAATCAAGAAGTCTTGTCGTTACGAGACGGTGACACACGTGCAGCGACTTGCAAGCCAAACCAATCTTGGTTGCTTGCATGTATACGTACATCTCCATGCATGATCCGACGATTCGACTCAACATAAAGCCGTGCAGCAATGACAACAACATAGAAGACGATCCAGAACTACTCGGTAGCTACTCGGCTTCATCAAGAATATACCGAGGAGCAGCTATGACCGCTTGACTGCGGCAATCGACTACTCCGCTCGACCACCCCAAAGCGCCATGTAGCATCGCTTCTCCGACCAGAGTGAATGCGGCTATGACAACGATCTCTCTGTATCTGATCTCTCTAACGCCGACCAGATAACGCCATATGCCACCGACCAGACGTTCTGTCTAAAGCTAAGTCACAACTTTAATATTTTTCTAAATATTCTCCAATCTTTGTATATCGCCATGATGTTTCTCCGAGCTGTTTTCTCCATGTTTACTCTCCAAACAATTTTTTGAACCCCTGAACAGTCATGTTGATACTCGGACGCCTCTAGAGACGGCCCTGTCTCTGGCTCCTCCCTGCAAGTGCACAAGAGTCTACCCTCTATGTTATGGGTGGTCGACAGCGGCTCCTTAGCGACGCTTTGTTCTTCCTACACGCACACGGGCTCCGCGCTCCGCGTTATAGTTAACGGGCTAGCTAGGGCTGGAGACTCAGCTACACACTAACTGGTCGGATGGTTTATATTAAATATAAATACATCTTCGCACCAACTGATGGCCGAGCTACATATGCTATTTTTTCTCCAGAGTTCATATATTTTTACATCATGTACTACCCGTTCTACATATTTGTATTGCGGGATCATCGTCCAGGTGATCGGACCACCTAGTGCTCGGACTTCTCCACCGATCAACTGGTCGAACCGCTAGGTTCATGGACTTCATCGCCAACCAGTTGATTGGACTGTTCGCCGGTCATTTCTACTCAATGCTCACTTTGCCGCCGACCAGTTGACCAGATTGTTCGTCACTCGTGCTTCATCGCCAGCTACGCCGGGGGCTCCTCGGTGCTCGGACATCGTCAGATACGCCGGGGACTCCTCGGTGCTCGGACATCGCCAGCTATGTCGGTTATTCTTCGGCGCTCGGATTCTTCGTGCTCGGGGACTAAGTGGGCACACTTCACCCCACTTCACCTTGTGGACATCGCCAGCTACGCGCGGGGACTCCTCGGTGCTCGGACATCGCCAGCTACGCCGGAGACTCCTCGGTGCTTGGTCATCGCCAGCTACGCCGGGGACTCCTCGGTGCTCGGACATCGCCAATGACGCCAGGGACTCCTCGGTGTTCGGACATCTCCAGCTACGCCGGGAGCTCCTCGGTGCTCGGACATCACTAGCTACGCCGGGAACTCCTCGGTGCTCGGACATCGCCAGCTACGCCGGGAACTCCTCGGTGCTCGGACGTCGCTAGCTACGCTGGGGACTCCCTTGATGGTCGGATCTTGCTATGCCTCATCAGTGTGCTATCAAGCTGCTCCATGTTGTTCGGATCAGGGTGCTGATCTTGGGCAACACGTCTGGGGTCTTGATACGCGCATGTCAGACGACGTCGGCTTTCAGACTTCTTTTTCTTTGACCCTGCTATAAGATTCATTCTTCATCTTTCAGCAGGCCCGGGGACTAAGTGGGCACACTTTACCTTGTGGTGAATGTGCACTTTTCAATTCAGGGCTCTGCCTGTGGACTGGTTGCCCGCTCGGCCAATCTTCTGTCTTTCTTCTACTTTCTGACCCTGGCACCACGTGACTACGTCACGTACTGTCAGGCTCGGGGACTAGCTGTGGGGGTATGGCCCCCGATATCCACAAGACAAGACGTGGGCCGTACCCTCAGAGGTGGCCCAACCCACAAGATCAAGACGTGCATGGCACTGGTCGACGTACACCGCAATATATTATATAGTACAAAATAGGATACTTTTCTTGTAACCCTACCCCTACAGAGCATATAAGGAGGGGCAGGGGTCATCTACATACATCTCATATTTAATACAATACCATAAAGACACAAGACGTAGGGTATTACGTCGATCAGCCGACCCGAACCTGTCTAAATCGCTGTCTCTGCGCCTTGTGTCACCATCCGGTTCCTAATTACACGCACCTCCACCGACAAATCTACCATCGCGGGATACCCCTCGGTGGACTGCCGAGCATCTTCTGTCGACACTAATCTAATATTAATATCTATACAAAGCTAACTACAACAACTAATTATACTAAATACAATGTATAACTAGACTCACTAACTGTACTAACTAAACTAACTAACTTTACTAACTATAATTTACTAATTATATTAACTGTATTTATTTTACTAACTTACTATACTAACAACGTCGATTCAATTAACAAATACACTAGGGGAGTACCTCGCGGCGGCGGTGCGCTAGACCGTCGTCGTCCGCACCGGAACTACCCCCTTCCCCCTACTGCTGATGCCGCTGCGGGGCTCCGCTCCACGACCCGCTCCGGCCGGACGCCGCCGGTGTCGGGTTCCCCTTGCTCTGCCCGCCACGGTGTTCCTGGCCGCGCGCCGTCACCGTGGGTTCCACTGCGGACCTCGCGCGTCTCTCCGTCGACCTTCGACGGCCATCGCGCTTCGCCCGCCGAGCCCAAGCGTGCCCGCAAGAAGACCCACCGTCGTCGCGTGCGTAGCCGTCTCTCCCCGCTGCGCGCTCGTGGCGAAGTGCTCCACCGACCCCCCGCCCGCCATCTTCGTGGGCCGTCCATGGATGCGGCCGGAGCCGCTGCTCTCCCCGCGTCGTCTTGTGCGTTGGTTTTGCGCGGTGGGCTCTGCACGCGGCCGTTGTTCCGCTGCCGACGTCCGCACGCAGACAAAGCCGAGCCGTCTCGTCACAGTACTTCGTGGCATGTCTTCTTTAAGCCGTATCGCGCGAACGCCACGCGCCTTTAATGCATACGCGGCCAAAGATGGCCGAGCCGTGTAAATGTCGTCGCCCAGCTCACTCGCTCGCTCTATCCTCCGCCATGGCCACGCCGCCGTCGCCTAGCCCCCCCCCCTCGCGTGAAAGCACGAGCACGCGCGAACCACCAAGGTCCCGCGCTAGACCTGCTGCTCCACGGCATGGCCCTCCCTAGCGCCTCCTCTGTCGTCGTCCGCGCCGAAACTACCCCCTCCCCCTGCTGCTGATGCCGCTGCGGGGCTCCGCCTCCACGACCCGCCCCGGCCGAACGCCGTCGGTGTCGGTTTCCCGCGCTCTGCCCGCCGCGGTGTTCCTGGCCGCGCGCCGTCACCGCGGGTTCCGCAGCGGACCTCGCGCGTCTCTCCGTCGACCTTCGCTGGCCATCGCGCCCCGCCCGAGCCCGCGTTGCCCCGCAGCACCTCGCCGTCGTCCGTGCCGTAGCCATCTCTGCCACTGCGCTCGTGGCGAGTGCTCCACCGGCCCCGCCCCGCCGTGCTGTGGCCGTCCACGGGTGCGGCCAGAGCCGCTGATGCCCCACGCGTCGCCCCACGACAGCACCGTTGCCGGCGAGCTGCCCCTGGCCGGCGGAGTAGCCCCGGTCGTCGCCACGTCACCGGTCAGCGCCCCGATCGTCGCCACGTCAACCCTCTTGCCGCGCCACCATGCATGGCGCGGCACAGGCATTTGGCTGCGCCAGGGAAATAGGCACGGCCAAAAGTGTTAGTTTTGGAGAAAAAAAATTAAATAGTCTTAGATTTAAAATTAGTTTACAAAAGGTGTTAAAAAAAAATAAAAATCGCTATGTATGCCCTCACGTTTGAATTTGAATACAACAAAGGGAAGGTGTCATTCATAAACAGTTTCAATTTTCTTTCGCAAAAAAAATAAACAGTTTAAATTTGTTCGCGAATTGGCGACTGATAATAATGTTTAATCCAGCAACGATTCTCTAGCTTTGGGTGAGAATCGCAACCGTTTCTTGGTTCCAAACGGCCCCTAAAAATGTTTGTACTCGTCTTCCATGGAAGTATCGCCTGCCAACACATTTAAATAAGAGGAATATTAGAAAATAATATCTGCTAGTATTCGCAAAATGAAAAGAAAATATCTGCTAGCTTCTCCCGTTCTCCATGTCAACTAGGAGTAGTGCAGTACTACTGCAGTTCAGTTTTGCCGTTAGCTACCGGTTTCGCCCCACAGACGATACAGCTCAATCGAGATTCATGCTGTAGAGAGAGGGAAAAGGAAATCAATGGCTTATTAGATAGCCCGTGCGGCACGTGGGCTCGCGGGCCTGCCTTTTCCCCCAGGCCGATGGCGATCTGAAGCTGAAACGCTCAGCGCCATTGATTCGGTCCCCCCGTGCCCTGAGGCTGAAGCTGCAAGGAACCTCACGTCATCACCTCACGATGTCCCCACCAACCTTGGCACGTCCGCGCGCAGCACCGCCATGGCTGAAGCTGAAGCGGACTAGCAGCCACCCCAGCCGTATTCCGGGGACGGGACCCCGCGCGTCGGCGTCGCCGTACGTCTCGCTCGCGATCGCTTGACGGCTAGACGCCACGCAAAATCTCCGCCAGCTCACGTTGGCTCGATTCGATCAGTGGTTCGTGCCTGCATGCTGCGGCCTCGATCGGCGAATCAAAGGCGAGCAGCCGAGCGCCCTCGATCTCTATGCGATCAACGCAGAAAAGGGCTGGAGAGGCCAGCCGGCGTCGCGTTACGTATCCTGGGCTCCTGGCCAGAGACGACGTGCCGGTTGAGCCAGCCATACGTGCAGGCCGCGCCCTTATCCTCCATTTCTCCTGCCCCCCTGGCCCTATATAATTCGATGCTAGCTGGCTCCACACCACTGAAGAGTCAGAAGATCGAGGCAGCAGTAAGAAACACACGTCGAAGTCGTCGTAGTTTTAATTACGTGCTCCCATCCCGTCCGGTGCGCCATGGCACGCAGCAGCGCCTTGCCGTTGTTTCTTCTCGCGCTCTCGTGCTGGTCGTGGTTTGGCGCCGTCGTCACGGCGCGGCCGACCCCGAGCACCACCACAGCCGCCGGCGGCGGCGGCTTCATCACGTCGTGGTGCGCGGGGACGGACTACCCGGCCCTGTGCAACGCGACGCTGGCCCCGTACGCGGCGGAGGTCGGGGCCAGCCCGGCGCGCCTGTCGCTGGCCGCGCTGACTGTCACGCTGGACGGCGCGCGGAAGGCGACGGCCGCTATGAAGGCGATGGTGGCGGCGGGCGCGAGGAGCAGCCACCTGCACCTGGTGCCCGTGGCGGCCCAGGCGGCGGAGGACTGCGTGGGCATGCTCGAGGACGCCGTGGACCTGCTGCAGCAGTCGGTGGAGGCCATGGAGCGCCTCGGGAAGGAGGAGCCGAGCGGCGTCAGCGGGCAGGGGCAGGCCGGGAGCGGCAGCAGGAGCGTCAGGTTCCAGGTGAACAGCGTGCAGACGTGGGCGAGCGCCGCGCTGACGAACGACGACATGTGCATGGAGGGGTTCAAGGGCCAGCCCGCCGTCGTGAGGGAGGCCGTGCGGGGGAACGTCGCCGGCGTCACGCACCTCACGGCCATCGCGCTCGCCATCATCAACGCCATGGCCAAGCAAATATAAGTTGATACGGTGTTTATGCACGTGTATAGCATGCATGTGGGATGCCTTGTGCATATGTACGTACGTATATACGTCTCTGTTTGTGCTGTTGTTGTACGTCTGAGATTAGAGTGGTAGTAGAAATGATCACATCTGATCCTGATTTGTTTAGAGCTGCAACGGAAGAATCACGGATTGATTGTCGTGTGGTGCACCCGTGTACGGACAGTGCAATGGAAGAATCATGATTAATTTGTTGTCATGCGTTGTTCTTCACTTTTCTAAGTACTGATGCGACGAGCAGACGAGCGTGTCAAATGAGATTGGAGTACTTTTGATATTCGCAACTGGTACTCTATCAGGAGATGTGTTTGTACCACTCAAATCGCATAGGAATACACTCTGCTGTCAGTAGATTGATGATGAAAGATCAGCAGTACGTGGCTGTCCATTTTACTGGCTCGGGTCCTAGAAGTACTGCACAATGACTAGTACACTTTACACACGCCGAAGCCCTATCCAAACTTCCAAAGGCCAAGCGCTCGTCAGTACCAGCAGCGTGTCAGGAGTTCCAGATTTCCATCCAGGGCGACATTCCATTCGACCGCAGATTCACAAGGCATGAACACAGGAAATGGAGAGTAGCTACAGGTCATCAGCATGTTCGCTTGCTCGTAAACGATCGTAAATTTCCAGCCGAGAACAGTGTTTTTCTCTCACACTAAACCAGCCAACAGTAAATAATCCATGATACGATACGGCCTCCCGAACATGCTGCATATTCGGAGTCATATTTGCACAATACATGACAACCAAAAATATCGACAGAATTATTGGCATTCTTTTGTGGCTGTAGCCCTGTAGGCATGGGCCATCGGCAGTTTGCACTCTGCAGGTGACACTAGGATGGTTATCTTGGGCTTTCGACAAGATGCAATCGCACGAACATGAAAAATAAAAAATTCAATAGGACAGTTTCATGGCACTCATGAGCACACACCATGTCCATACACATGCATCCAAGTATCCAACGCATTTGACTATTGCAGAAATAATTGAAAAGAAAGCTTCAATTCTCTTATTCGTTGAATGCATGTAAACAGACATGTATCACAAATCCATTGTGGGTGCACATAAGCGTGCCATGGAAATAGCCCTCACTGAACATGAAAGCCTGAGTAACAACTAGCAGTAGCAGCTGCCGATAGTTGAATTCAGCACATGAAAGCCTGAGTAACAACTTCCAGCGCAATAGGAACATGTACACAAACATGAAAATGAAATTACCAACACATATGCTCCATTAGCCTTTAGTTTTGCAAAGCGCATCAACCACTACAGATTTTTCATATCCAGTAAAAGGGAAGTAAAAAAAAAAGAGGAAACAAATAACCCATGATTGCAGTCAAAGTTGTACACCAGTTGTCGCTTCGTTACGAGACTATTGCACTTGGCCGATATTTAACTCGAAGTTTGTATCCTTTCTAAGGGGAACAAAGCTAGAATGTCATAGCATTCATGAAGCTCTCTTGGGAGGAGACATATTCTGCAGGAGTCTGGTAGTTGTAGCTATAACCACCATTTGCAGCAGGATACCTAACATGGTGGATGAACGCAGACCACAAAAGTTAGCAACAAATACTTTGACTATAACTTACAAGAGATTTAGCTATAACTTACCGAGAGCAACACGAACCGCATCAAGCATTTCATAGCTTGTGATGGCCTCTGTGTTTTGCTTCATAACCTAGGCAACAACCAAATGCAAATAGCTGATGATATTCATACTCCCGAAAAGCTTGTTGTAATTATTACCTCATAGAGCAAAAAAACTAATTCATACACCCCAGGAGGAATGGAAGCAAAAGAAAACAAAATTGTAGCCTCAAATTGACCAAGACCTAAGATTAATTCGAGTTTATCTAACACTAGAATACTGGCACAAACATGATAGGTACTTTCAGGATGAAATCTGCCTGAGTTATTTGCTGGTGGAATTATTGAGATTAAGATACATGCATGATGTTATACCTGTCAACTTCTTCAGCCATGTGGGCATGACAATGAAAGGGAATGATCTTTCGCACTGATAGAATAATATCATCCATCCTTTTTCCTTGATCTATATACAGATATTTTTCTTCAGCCGAACTTGTCAAATCTAATGTGATGCTTATGCTCTATCCTTACTCAATGTGGAGAATCCAGCTTCCACATAGCTGGATTATCCCAAAGATGAAGTTGGCCCTCAATTTGTCAGCCTTATATCTGGTGACATAGTTTTGGTAACATGGATTCACTACCAACACATTCAGCACCAGAGGTATTTTTGCTTTCTCTTTTGTGCTGATTTGATACCCGAATCAATTTTTTTTTGTTTTTGAGTGTTATGCCAACAAAATGAAGCCACCACTTAATGCTCGATTAGTTTATTCAGCAGTATCATAAAGCCAGATCCAAAATTGAATGCAGTCATGGACAACTCTTACATTTTCATCTAACTTAGGCCCTGTTTGGTTCCTAGGGGATTTTAATCTGGATTACAAAAAATCTCAAAATCCTATAATCTCATCCAAACAGACTAGATTCTAGTGGATTTTAACATACAGACACAGATACAATGAAGCGCGCTAGAATTTTTTTTTTAATCCAGATTCTAAAAATCTCCTAGGAACCAAAAAGGACCTTAAAAACAGACATGCTAGATAGTCCTGTGCACCTCTCGTTTAAGAAGATTCACATCAAGCCAAGCCCATGTTGCAATTGCATTGAACTTAGTATCAAACACTACCTATGCAGGCTGAAGGTTATTACTTTGTGTCTCATTCTTGCAAATGTACTCCTCCCCAGGTGGGACTTCAACTTGGGGTTATCTACCTCTAAAGATTCTACAAAAGGGTACCATTTGCAAAATTTCTACTGCATGTTTGGTTAGTTCACAATTGCACTACCCAATGCCCATCATGATTCTTGAGAATGATCACAATTCTGGTAAGTCATTAACTAACTCCATTGGCAGGACTAAGAACAATAAGACTATATAATTGCTGCTTAAGCTGCAATCTAAATGAAGTAACGATCTTAATAAGACAAGCTGTTTCATTTAAAAAATGACGAAGGTTGAACTCATGCTTTTAATTGGATAGCATCAGGAGGCAGAAAAATAATAAACTTGTAAGATATATATTTCCACGCTCATCACTTGCAAAACAGCAATATTCTGAATTTCATAATCCAAACCTTCAAGAACAACTCTGACCGGATAATGCACGTCACAGAGAATGCAACCGCAATTGATGACAAGCTTGTGTAAAGTCGAAGCAGCACTGCCATAGTCCGCCTACGCCCTGTGAATAACCAAATAACAACATCAGCTAAAATACAATCAATAATCCGACAAAGGATGATTGATATGTCATTGGAAAAAGGATATCCTTTGGGAAAAACATGAATGGGGGTGTTATTTCTTTAAAAGCCCGTATGCCAAAGGCATCTAGAGAAAATTTGAAGCTTATATGCGGAGATTGATATAATTTAATGGTTGGTTTGGAAGGCCCATAGTGAGGTAAGCTTCAAAGACTACCAGCTGATCCTAATAGAATGGTGTCCACTTTTACAGAAAAAAAAAGAATGGTGTCAACAAAGAGAGCAAGATGATAGTATACCAACTTGCTTGTTCTGGCAAACTACAGCAGAATGCTTAATCCATGGCAAGAGTATTGAAAAAAAAACCTCTCCTATCTTACTAATCAGCAACCAAGAAGCCTGTCAATGAAAAATTGACAGCTGACGTAGAATTTCATATTTCACTGCCCATGATATTCTAGTTGACACCTCTTCTTTTTATCAGTGTCAAGGATCCTTTTATTGAACTTAAGACTTGAAAAGTTGTAAGCTCCTATTGCGGTTTTCTTCACTCGAGGCTCAAGATCTAGGTTGGCCTAGTTCTTTTTTGGTGGAAAAAATAAGTATATGGAACTAGCGGAGCTGAGGTTAACACAGCAATATCACCTAATTCCCCCACCACTATAGCCAGGAATCCCGCAGCCACGGACAGCACGGCGAACTTGTTCACCGCCGCCCCCTTGGACAACGACAGCAACAGAAGCGCGCCTCCGGCCACTAGGTGCAGCGCCTGTAGGAGCAAACCACCACGAACACTAATCAGATCAACAACCGCCAACAACGGCAAGAGATGGAGGGGCGAGTCCAGGAGCCAAGCTTGCCGTCACCTGCACGAGGATGAGGCGAGTGAGGCGGGATCTGCCCTCGGCGACCCTCTGGTACCCTGCAAAATCGCGAGGTTGTGAGAGAGGCGTTGGAAGCGAGGCTTTGGGGGTCTGGGCGGTGGATGCTTACGGGATTCGACGACCATGCGGTAGGAAAAGTCTGAGCCATCCGTGCCCGACGGCCGGCCGGCGCCGTGCCGCTGCATCGCCGTGTCCGACGGTGAGGACGCTGCTTCGTCGAGGGGAGAGACAGTTCGCAGAAGGGCGGCGCCCTAGTCTTCGTGTCAAGGCGAATACCGAAAGACGCCTTCTGACTGCAAACACGGAAACTGAGAGCGCGAGCAGAAGACACTCGACCGCACAGGCACAGTAGCGCAGCCGCGCACACCAACAGTCGAGCGAGGACAACCACCCCGGCTATGGAGGAAACCGGCGCCGCCGCCGCCGCTTGGGCATCTAATGCGGCCACGCCCGCCCCATCCGAGCCCACAGGATCCCCTGTTGATGCCGAAGCCTCCGCTGATCCTACCGCCGTCGGTGACGATGAGCACGACTCCAAGGAGGTCGTCCTGCGCAGGTACTTCCTCCAGGAGTGGGAGCTGGTCTCCGCGATCCTCCGCCGTATCGTCGCCGGCGGCGGCGTTGCCGAATCCGCCGATGTCCACAGGATCCGCTCTATCGTAAGCATTCTTATCCTCTCCCTATTTCCAAATGCTCCCTGCCGCTGAAGTGCTGAACCTTAGATCTCTGAGAGAGGAGTGTGTAGCTCTGAGAGCAACATTGACTTCTGTTTGGTTATTTTAAAGGATATAATCTGCTTTAGCGTCTGCTTTTCAATGCACAACAGCCAAATTCGAAGATATCATGTACAATTTCTTGCAACCTTTTAGTCGTCTAGGAGGCAGTTTAAACTGTTTGGTTGAGGTTAATCTGTGAATGCACATTTTATTGCTAATATAAGATAGCAAAAGCTGAGCTGAGGTACAAATGACTTACATAAATCAATCCTATGTCCTAGAATGATATGTTGTTTAGGAATTACATTCTGCTTTCCCTGGTAAAAAATGGTTCTGGGAGAGAGTTATGACTGATCTATTACCACCTCTATAGATAAAGGTAAGAGGCAAAGTTCCACATGATGTGGAAACTATTAGCATTAGGAAAACAACTGATATATTTGGATAATACCCAGACATCCTATTTCTGACTTTAAGTGTAAAGAGTTACACTCCCTCTGTTCCAAATGTAAGGTGTTTTAAGTTTTTCTAAGTCAAACATCTTCAAGTTTGATCAAATTTATAGAAAAACATAGAAACTGTCCAGCACCAAGCAAATATACTATAGAAAAATCAATGCTGGATTTAATGAAACTAATTTGGTTTTGTAGATTTTGCTACGTTTTTTCTATAAACTTTGTCAAACTTGAAGATGTTTGACTTGGAACAGAACCAAAACACCTTACATTTTGGAACGGAGGGATTATTTTATTTTATTTGGTTCGCAGATGAATGATATATTAGACATCAACATGGTCCCCTGAGTGCAACTTTGGCCACTACTTTCAGTAATATTATGTTTGTAAAACATAGTAAAGTTGTGCTATTATGAAAGCACTTTTAAGAAAAATCTGTACGTATTATTTTCATATATCCAGTGTTAATATTTGTAGAGCATCAATCTTTGAACTGACTTTTTTAAGTGAACGATTGAAATGACTTTATGCCAAAACTATCATGCTTAAGAGCTTGCATGATAAATGTTATCTTTTCTGTTGAGCAATAGATGGACAAATATCAAGAAGAGGGTCAGCTACTAGAGCCATACCTGGAGAACATTGTCTCGCCACTTATGTCGTTGGTTCGGTCAAAGACAATGGAACTTGGTGCTGGTACTGATGAACTCCTTGACATTATCAAGCCTCTGTGTATCATCATCTACACCCTTGTCACTGTGTGCGGGTACAAGAGTGTCATCAGATTCTTCCCTCACCAGGTTTCAGATCTTGAGCTCGCAGTTGCTCTCCTTGAGAAGTGTCATACAATGAGTTCGGCCACTGCTCTTAGGCAGGAGAGCACAGGAGAAATGGAGACTAAATGTGTTGTTCTATTGTGGCTTTATATACTGGTCCTGATCCCATTTGACATATCCACTGTGGATACAAGCATTGCTACTGCTGATAACGTGGATGGGCCTGAGGTCGTTCCACTGGTGACAAGAATATTGGACATCTGTAAGGATTATCTCTCCAGTTCTGGTCCAATGAGAAGGATGTCAGGATTATTGCTTGCAAGGCTGTTGACTCGTCCTGACATGGCAAAGGCTTTCAGCAGGTGATTCTTACAATTATTTTTGTACAACTCACATTCATATATTTTTCAAATTGCTGTAGTAACTGTACCTTCAAAGGTATCCTATCACTGAAGGATTACCATTATCACTAAAACAAAGATTTATTGAACATCAATATTAAACACTTGACCATTTCATTGTACTTCTATTCAACATTGCATTGGGCAATGTTTTGAGTTCTCCTGCTTCTCTTTATTTTCAGTTTTATGGACTGGGCACACAAGATGTTATTGTCTGTAACAGATGACTTTGTCGATCAATTTAGATCCATTGGTATAGTGGAAGCTTTAGCATCAATATTTAAGGTTTGTATGTGTCTTATTTTTTCAATTTTTAAATATTCTCCACATGTGGTGGATATATCTTTTCCTTCAGACCTGAAGTTTCTCTATTTCATTTTTCTCTTAATAGGAGTTCTTTACACAAATGATTCTTTTTTGTGGTTGTCAACAGGGAATGGATATGAGCATTTGCTTTGACAATTACATATTGTTAATTTAGTTTGATGTCTTCCTTTTGGTTCCTCTTCTTGCAGATTGGTAACCGTAGAGCACTGCATGATGCTGTTTCTGGTACTTGGAGTGATTGTTCAATTGTGATGAAGACTAATGTCTCAGCCAGGAGTCCACTTCTTAGAAAATTCCTGGTGAAACTGGCCCAGAGAGTTGCTCTCATTAGCTTGCCTCCACGTTCGCCATCATGGCGGTATAAGGTTTTCAATCTCTTATTGTTGTTATAAATAGATCTCAGTATTTCACAATCATGGCTCATATTTTGACTTGAAAAGGAAAAACCCAACCATATGGTGCTTAAGAATTTGTTCTTTTTGGCGCACACAGAGCATCTAGATTGTTTGTTACATGCATGTGTCCTTGTAAAGTTAATAGGACATTTAGTATGAGGTAAAAGTGGTTTATTGTTGCAGTACCTGATACTTTTGTTTCATTACATAGTTCTCCTAAAATTTAATAGGACATCTGACTGACATGTTCTTGCAGTCTGATTATATTGTATGCACCATGTAGAACTCCAAATCATATCCAGATCATGGAAAACTGTTCAACAAATTTAGATATGCGAACCACTCATGTTCTGAAGAGCTTCTGTACTATGCTGGAGCTCCAATTCCTGATCTGTTAAGGAAACATTCATAGCTGGATTACTTAGAGTACACAACTGCTGATAGGATCTGCTGACTCTGAACAGTAAAGTTCTCATGGAAGGTGCCTTGATTAAACATTTTCAATACAAAGTACCAATTTTTAATTTCTTATTGGGATTAATAATGGGAGTTGTTTCTGAGTTACAATCTGTCAGAAGTCAATTTTGGGTGATTTTTTTGCATAGAAACGCTTCAACTTGTCAATATTTTGTATTTATTTCTGGAAGGAAGTGCATGTATATGCTGGATTCTACATTGGAGAATACAGTACTCTCAGTATTTGAATCTGGTGAGAATTAAACAGATGCCAAGAAATTGTCTTGGTGCATTGGCATAATCATGTAAATGTATCAGCTAGGTGGCAGTAAACTACTTAGCTTCATCCAAAGCAACAATGCCACCTGCTTTATTGACTGTTCGTGTGAGTTCCGCAGATGACTACCAAAAGAACGAATTAATCAATAATTTGTGACATGTTTTACATTTTCTTTTATGAGAATGTTTTCATATTTTGATTTGTTTCTTCAGTCTAGTCTTCTATGCTTCGTAGCTTGTAAGGGGAATTTCTACCACAGGGCTCACTGTTTTAACCCGATGCAGCCAATTAGCAGTTCGTTGGGTGCAAACCTTTCAAGTTATACAGCTGGAGAAGTGTATTCAAGTGGATCAAGTGAACAAGTTAATATTGATCAGATAGGCATGTGTTTTTTGGAAGAAGATATGGATGTTCCAGAAATAGTAGAAGAGATTATCGACTTGCTATTGACTGGTTTGAGGGATTCAGTATGTTCTTATCCAGATATTATGATGTGAAATTTTGATTTTATTTTCCAGAACGTGGTGGTAATATTTACGCAGTTATATGATCCCTTATATTGTACCCCATTTTGTTACTTTCTTTCTCTTTGCTTGCCGGCTTATATCCTCTTTTCCCTACAAGGATCTTCACCTGCCAGTCTACCTCCACTGCATTTCAAATCTTAACAAATATTCCCTCCGTTTCAAATTGTAAGTCGTTCTGGCTTTTCTAGATACATAGCTTTTGCTACGCATGTAGACATACATTATGTATAGACGCGTAGCAAAATGCTATGTATCTAGAAAAGCTAGAACAACTTACAATTTGGAATGGAGGGAGTACATAACATTGCCTAGATTGTCCTGTACTGGAGCAAAAAAAAAAAAAATCCACACAGCCTTTTATTGTTTGAATTTCTAGAATTATTCGACAGTATAATTGAACTTTAAATCCATTAATCAATTCTTGGTTTGATTGCTTAGAATCGAGTTGGTGAAACTTTTCTGTGTAGATTCCTGTATGCTACTATGATTTTGTGAACAGGGTTGCTTCATACAAACAACACAACTGCCTCCCACTCTAAGGACATAAATGCAGGAGCAGTGGTGGTATCTGAAATGAAATAAGTTCTCAAAACTGTGTATATGAGAAATTATGTACACAATTTGAAATATTCACTGTTTCATGTACTTTCTTAGGAAAACAGTAGGGAGTGATAGAAGCCAAAGGCTGAGATTGATTAGCTTAATTGAATGATTACAGCAGAGGTGTTACATATATATAGAGAGTACAAGAGAGCCCAAAGGGCCTGGCCAGCCTGGAGGCGGCGCCCCAAGGGGCCAGTCTAGTCTAGGGAATTGGCAACAATAAATAGGGACTAATAACTCTAACAGGGA